GTTCCCTGCCTCTCGTACCCTGCCTCTCGTTCCCTGCCTCTTGTTCCCTGCCTCTCGTTCCCCGCCTCTCGTTCCCCGCCTCTCGTTCCCCGCCTCTCGTTCCCCGCCTCTCGTTCCCAGCCTCTCGTTCCCCGTCTCTCGTTCCCAGCCTCTCGTTCCCTGCCTCCCTCGTTCCCTGCCTCTCGTTCCCTGCCTCTCGTACCCTGCCTCTCGTTCCCTGCCTCTCGTTCCCTGCCTCTCGTTCCCCGCCTCTCGTTCCCAGCCTCTCGTTCCCTGCCTCCCTCGTTCCCTGCCTCTCGTTCCCTGCCTCTCGTTCCCTGCCTCTCGTACCCTGCCTCTCGTTCCCTGCCTCTCGTTCCCTGCCTCTCGTTCCCTGCATCTCGTTCCCCGCCTCTCGTTCCCCGCCTCTCGTTCCCAGCCTCTCGTTCCCCGTCTCTCGTTCCCAGCCTCTCGTTCCCTGCCTCTCGTTCCCTGCTTCTCGTTCCCTGCCTCTCGTTCCCTGCCTCTCGTTCCCCGCCTCTCGTTCCCCGCCTCTCGTTCCCTGCCTCTCGTTCCCTGCCTCTCGTTCCCTGCCTCTCGTTCCCCGCCTCTCGTTCCCAGCCTCTCGTTCCCTGCCTCCCTCGTTCCCTGCCTCTCGTTCCCTGCCTCTCGTTCCCTGCCTCTCGTTCCCTGCCTCTCGTTCCCCGCCTCTCGTTCCCTGCCTCTCGTTCCCTGCCTCTCGTTCCCTGTCCTTCCAGTTATCACAATGGGGGTTAACTAGCTATTAATCCTCTGGTCAATTAGCGCTGATAAAAATCACAATTCGGAGCAACAATTATATTGCATTGGATTATTGTTATTATGGAGAAGGTGGTAGTGGTGGATGGTGTGTGGGTTGGTCATGTTCTCTTGGTTCCTGTTCATCTTGTTCTTCATCCCCCAGTCTCGTTCCTTTCCTCTCTCTCCTCTCCCTCCTCTCACTCTTCACACATTCCTACCTTCTCCAATCTTCAATTTACGATGATTACAAGAACTGTTTTTGAAGGGTTTTTATAAAAAATTGGGATAGTTTTAAAGTTGAAGTATATGAATGTGTGTGTGTGTGTGTGTGTGTACTCACCTAGTTGTATTCACCTAGTTGTGTTTGCGGGGGTTGAGCTTTGTTCTTTCGGTCCGCACACACACGTACACACCGTGTGTGTGTGTGTGTGTGTGTGTGTGTGTGTGTGTGTGTGTGTGTGTGTGTGTGTGTGTGTGTGTGTGTGTGTGTGTGTGTGTGTGTGAGTGGAGCCCCGCACAATACCAGTAAGGGACATAAGCTGCCGGAATCCAGGCATTGCTAAATTGGCGGGTTTTATTTGCCAGTTTGGAAGACTAACAGGAAGAAGGATAATGTCTATATCCAGAGCCTGGATATAATGACCCCCGCCCCCCCTCTCGCTCTGTGTCGCCTCCACTCCTCCACCCCTTGTTGTACTCCCCTAGTTGTGCTGGCGGGGGGTTGAGCTCTGGCTCTTTGGTCCCGCCTCTCAACTATCAATCAACTGGTGATGTGTTTCACCCTATATCTGCTGTGTTCCTGTGGAGGGGTATGTCGCTCCTGTGGAGGGGTATGTTGTTCCTGTGGAGGGGTATGTCGCTCCTGTGGAGGAGTATGTCGCTCAATATTGCACATGTATGCTCTGGCGTGCTTTACCATGGCTACGTACATTCAGACTGCTGCTTGACGCTTCCAGCAGTGTGTAACTGAGCACAATACTGGCTGTGAAGGATTGTTGTATGGGTTACAGAGCTTGTACATCTCTGTGACTCTTCGGGGCTGTGTTGGTAAGTGACGGATCCGATCTGAGTGAGAGAGAACATCTTCTGCAGCACGCCCGTGCACTCTGTAGCACGCCCGTGCACTCTGCAGCACGCCCGTGCACTCTGCAGCACGCCCGTATTCTCTGCAGCACGCCCGTACACTCTGCAGCACGCCCGTGCACTCTGTAGCACGCCCGTGCACTCTGCAGCACGCCCGTGCACTCTGCAGCACGCCCGTGCACTCTGTAGCACGCCCGTGCACTCTGTAGCACGCCCGTGCACTCTGCAGCACGCCCGTGCACTCTGCAGCACGCCCGTGCACTCTGTAGCACGCCCGTGCACTCTGTAGCACGCCCGTGCACTCTGCAGCACGCCCGTGCACTCTGCAGCACGCCCTTATTCCTGGAATTCCATTTTCATCAAGAATTATAACAAAAAATAGTACCAAAGGCCCTTAACATTGTTGTACATGCTGCTATGGCGGTGTGTCCACTCACAAGATAAGTGACGCTGCCCAATAAACTCGCCCCTCGGGGCAAAATTTAAAATTTAAAAATTATTTGGATATTATCCTCGACATACTTAAATCGGCAGAGATAGCACCACCCCATAAAGGAGTAAATAAAGCAGGAGCAAAAAATTATAGACCTATAACATTACATCACACACACAATTCTTTAAAACGAGTGGTGAAAAATAACGTCACGGAACACAGGGAATTACAGTGTCTACATAACCCTGGGTAACCTGGTTTCAGAACAGGGCGCTCTTGCCTGTTACAGTTGCTGGACCACCATGGTTTCAGACCTGGGTGCTCTTACCTGTCACAGTTGCTGGACCACCATGGTTTCAGAACAGGGCGCTCTTGCCTGTCACAGTTGCCGGACCACCATGACATGGCCTGAACTGCCATGGAAGACGAACAAAACGCTAATGCACAGATTTCGCGTAAGCTTTCGACACAATTGTGACCAGGGTGTTATTACACACACATATTGCACGCAAAAAGGAATTGCTGGCAAAGGAGGAAGAGCTTTAATTGTCGACAAAGTGTAATCTGGATCATCAACTGGTGACAAGCGTAGTGCCTCAAGGTACTGTGCTGGCTCCGATACGATTTCTCATCTGTGTCTGAGACATAGATAAGGACACAAGCTATAGTGCCATATCATACTTTGCAGATGACACCAGGATTTTTTTTTATAAGAATCGACAATATAGCGTTACTACCAAACCTCCAAACTGATGTAAATCAGGTCTTTGGTACTCGGAATATAAATAGTGTTAAATGAAGAAGTTAAATGAAGTTCCCGCTACTCATAAAGGGCATAACCGGACGGCCTCTCGCGATGTTCAAAAGACAATTCGAAACACACCACCAAAGGATACCTGATCAACCAGGCTGTGAGTCAGAGTCTGGTTCACCAGACCACCAACCATGAGGCCTAGTCAGAGACCGGGCCGCGGGGACGTTGATCCTTGGTGCCACGCAAGGTAATCAATCACCTTGTTATTGCCTCTCCTTCTATGGCACCACCCCCCCTGCTATGGCAGGGGAGTGAGGGGCAGGGCAGGGGTGGGGCTGGGGTGAGTGAGGGGGCGGGGCAGGGGTGCGGCAGGGGCGAGTGAGGGGGCGGGGCAGGGGTGCGTGAGGTCAAATGCAAATGAATAGCGACGCGCGGATGTATAACTCCCCCACGGTGACAGGAAGGGAGGAGAGGGAGGGAGGGAGGGAAGATCAGGGAGGGAGGGAAGGTCAGGGAGGAATGATAGGAAAGGTGGAAAGGGAAGGATAGAACAGCCTCCCTTGTTCTTCTGCACTTGAGGGCAAGTATTAGGGGAGCAATGAGGGGTAGAGAAAGAGGAATCGGAGCCATGAAACGAGGGATGGAATGACGGAGATAAAAAACACAAATGGAGGATGAAGTGGAAGAGGAGGACAGGAAGGAAAAAATAAGAGTCCGTGAGTATATATGCCAAGAGCAACGTTGTTTTAGATTTAACTACTCAGAAAAAAGTGTCCATGTAGCACGGTCTATGGTGAGCCCGTAACAAGATCAACCCATTGGCCCGCCAAAACGTGACACAATAGACGAGGTAAAACTAACGCCTATATAAGGAGTATAGTAGATATAAGTAAATCTACTCCAAGTAGATATACTTATATCTACCAAGTAGATATACTTATACTTGGAGTAGATGCAAGACGCCCCCCTTGGAGTAGATATAAGTATATCTACTCCAAGTTCTACGTCTGTTCTGTTATTGACGCTGTGTGAATGCTGCACTTCCAGTTCTTCAGTTCTGTTACTGATGACAATTATTATTAAATATTAAATAAATATTTGTTATTAAATACGTTCAATTTATGGTTTCGGTAATTTTTGTTGACATTTTAAAGTTGTATCAGTTTTATAAATATATATTGTTTTGACAATATTCTTCACCGTCTCCTGGCGCCCTCACACCTCTCTCACACCCTTCTGGCGCCCCCACACCCCTCTCACACCCTCCTGGCGCCCCCACACCTCTCTCACACCCTCCTGGCGCCCCCACACCTCTCTCACACCCTCCTGGCGCCCTCACACCTCTCTCACACCCTCCTGGCGCCCTCACACCTCTCTCTCACACCCTCCTGGCGCCCCCACACCTCTCTCACACCCTCCTGGCGCCCCCACACCTCTCTCACACCCTCCTGGCGCCCCCACCCCTCTCTCACACCCTCCTGGCGCCCCCACACCTCTCACACCCTCCTGGCGCCCACACACCTCTCTCACACCCTCCTGACGCCCCCACACCTCTCTCACACCCTCCTGGCGCCCCCACACCTCTCTCACACCCTCCTGGCGCCCCCACACCTCTCACACACCCTCCTGGCGCCCCCACACCTCTCACACACCCTCCTGGCGCCCACACCCCTCTCTCACACCCTCCTGGCGCCCCCACACCTCTCTCACACCCTCCTGGCGCCCCCACACCTCTCTCACACCCTCCTGGCGCCCCCACACCTCTCTCACACCCTCCTGGCGCCCCCACACCTCTCACACACCCTCCTGGCGCCCACACCCCTCTCTCACACCCTCCTGGCGCCCACACCCCTCTCTCACACCCTCCTGGCGCCCACACCCCTCTCTCACACCCTCCTGGCGCCCCCACACCTCTCTCACACCCTCCTGGCGCCCCCACACCTCTCTCACACCCTCCTGGCGCCCCCACAGGGTTCTGCTACACGGAGCTGGTGACCTGGAGCGGGCAGTCGTCGGGTCAGCTGTACACGGTGACTTACCAGCTGGTGGGCGAGCTGGTGGCCTTCGTGGTGGGCTGCCTCAACACCCTCTTCGCTGCCGCCACCCTCGCCGCCGTCGGCAAGTCCCTGGTAAGTCCAGGTACCTCTTGGTAGGGCCAGGGACCCCTTGGTAGGGCCAGGGACCCCTTGGTAGGGCCAGGGACCCCTTGGTAGGGCCAGGGACCCCTTGGTAGGGCCAGGGACCCCTTGGTAGGGCCAGGGACCCCTTGGTAGGTATTGTAGTGATGCATCGGTCTTAGTTAAGGTAGATGAAATTGTTTCAATCCGTGAGGCAGGGTTGAACATTGGCCAGGGCCAGAGTTCAACCGCTTACGAAACATTTTTTGTATATACATCTTTTCCCCCAATCATGTCGGCCTTTTTTTTCTTTAATTCAACAGTTTACGAGCTCTGGAGCGCTATACGAGGTTGTACATACAAATGTTAGGGTTGTAAAGCTCGCTTGCACAATGAACAAATCCACAAGGGCCGTGACGAGGATTCGAACCTACGTCTGAGAGCATCCCAGACGCTGCCTTAATCGACTGAGCTACGACGCTTGTAGATTTGTTCATCGATGCATCACGTTATTGTGATGTCTGTGTGTGTGCCATCGCTTGCACGACCTGTAATTACCCTGCTCTTGCGTCTTGTCAACAGTCGGCCACCATGGACTACCTGTCAGGAGGCAAGGTGGAGCGCTTTGTGGCCACTCACCTGGGCCGCCTACCAGGCTCCCAGGCCGCCCCGGACTTCATAGCCGCCGGCGCCTCCCTCAGCGTCGCCGTCATCCTCGCTTTTGGTCTCGAGGTGGGTGTTGGGAGGGTGCTGGCACGTGGTGGTGCGAAGATTATATTACTTAGATGCTTATGGCTAAGCTTACCCAGTTTTAACAGTGATTACCTTTGGGGATGTGCCCATCATGCATGGTTGTAGAAGTAATTCTAAAGAAACTCGGTTATAATGGTATATGAGACTTGTAACACCTCCCTCTCTTCCTGCTGACGCAGCAATCCGGGTTCCTGAGGGCGACGATGAGTGTGGCGACGGGCGTGGCACTCGTGTTCTTCCTGGCTGTTGGCGCCACGCACACGGAGCAGGACCCGTCTCATCTGCACCACGCCCTTAACATCGGCTCCTCTGAGGTGTGTGTGTGTATGTGTGTGTGTGTGTGTAACAGAGCCATCAGACTGTAACTTAATGAGTCAAAAGTACGTACTATAAGTACGTACATAAGTACGTAAGTACTATAGTAAGTAGGGCTGGTCGCGTTGTTTACAAGGTTCCTCATCCCAATCACTGTTACTCGCCCATGCCCATACCGGATCACCCAATCACATTGATAATCCATCTTCTCGCCCACCTATTGGCTGAAAACAGTCCAGTTTTCGCCGTAAACGCAGCTCAATCATTCGTCACTGGAAGGGGATTAAGAGGATTTGCGATCCAGTGTGATTTATCTGGCGCGCACCAGCGTAGGGGCTGTTACACCTGTATAATTAGCCTGGTAATCTCGGCGATTTTGGTCACTGAGTGGGATTAGCTGATAAACAACGGCTGTTAATTCGTTCGGAAAATATGGGCACCGAGATTAAACAGGTGACCCGTGTTGACCCGTTTTTGAAACGCCAGACACACACACACACACACACACCCACACACACACACACACACACACACACACACACACCACATCAATGCATTAGGCAGTGATGTGGTGGAGGTAGACTCCATACACAGTTTCAAATGTATGATAGAGCCCAGTAGGCTCAGGAAGCTGTTCACCAGTTGATTGAAGGTTGAGAGGCGGGGCCAAAGAGCCAGAGCTCAAATAGGTGAGTACAGAGGGGGGTCTGATAGATTAGTAGACAGCGCACAGACTCTTAATTCTGTGGCCCGGGTTCGATTCCCAGACCAGGCAGAAACAAATGGGCAAAGTTTCTTTCACCCTGAATGCCCCTGTTACCTAGCAGTAAATAGGTACCTGGGAGTTAGACAGCTGTTACGGAACTGCTTCCTGTGTGTGTGTGTGTGTGTGTGTGTGTGTGTGTGTGTGTGTGTGTGTGTGTGTGTGTGTGTGTGTGTGTGTGTGTGTGTGTGTGAAAAAATTAGTAGTTATAACAGTTGGTTGACAGTTGAGAGGCGAGCCGAAAGAGCAGAACTCAACCCCCGTAAGCACAACTAGCTGAATACAATTAGGTGAATACACACATCCCTCTGCTCCCTCCCCAAAAATACTAGACTAAATTCCCTCTGTATTATCCAGCATGTTGACTTCAGTGAGCGCGCTTGTAAATTGTATAGTAATTTGCGATAATTTACGTCTGAAGGAAAGAAAAGTTGAGCAGTTTAGCGTCCCGGTTTTAGCAGTTAGACAACGGAGAATATTTATTCCAAGTGTACTGTGAATCACAGAGGCCTGTCAAAGGCAGAAAGAATGTTAGAAAATGTATTGCGTGGTAATTTGTAATGTCAATGGGTGGTGGTGGTGGTGGTGGTGGTGGTTGGTGGTAGTGGTGGTGGTGGTGGTCGTTGGTGGTGGTGGTTGGTGGTAGTGGTGGTGGTGGTGGTGGTGGTGGTTGGTGGTAGTGGTGGTGGTGGTGGTCGTTGGTGGTGGTGGTTGGTGGTAGTGGTGGTGGTGGTGGTGGTGGTGGTGGTGGTAGTGGTGGTGGTGGTGGTCGTTGGTGGTGGTGGTTGGTGGTAGTGGTGGTGGTGGTGGTGGTAGTGGTGGTGGTGGTGGTGGTAGTGGTGGTGGTGGTAGAAGTGATATTGCTGGTTATCGTTAATGTCGATGGTAAGAATGTCAGTTGGAACTGTCGAATTGCTTTGTATTTGGTTTGTATTGGTCTGTCGAATTGTCGAAAAGTTGGAACATTTTTTTACATGTTTTTCTTAGTATTTGGAGTTTAGGTTTTGATAATACACGTCCGTACGCATTATCAGGAGCCCCTTGGTGTACCCAGCTCCTTCAGGACCCTCAGCAACACCTTGCAAGGTACATGGTCTGCTGCTGTCTGCTGCACTCCGCATGCCCTTGTTCAGTTGTCTCAACTTTGAGCCGAGTTTCTCGCGTCTGAGTTTACTACTGGGTGTATCCTTCCTCTGCCTGATTATATGATATTTGTAGCCTCATGCCCCTGTTGTGGCTCGCTCTTGGTTTTGCATGCTGCCATTTTCAGTGTGTTTTTCCTTGTTGAAACTGAAGCTGGTCATTTCTGGTTCCTGTGTGTTCCTTGCTAACCTTGGGAGTTCTAAGGACTTCTCAGCATTCTCTGCTCTGCTGTTGTTGGTGTTTTTAGATTTAGCTACTCAGAACGAAGTGTCGATGTAGCACGGGATATGGTGAGCCCGTAATTCTCTGCTCTTTTGTTCCTGAACTTTGTATCATCAGCACTGCGGGTCAGGTGATGGGGTCTGCTGGTACGTCTCACTCTCGTCTGT